AAAACACTCAGTAAATGTTAGCGGCTACACTCCGGCCATAAGGCATTAACTGCCATTCTCCAACTGCATGTTGTTTTGTTCTACCTCCATGAGTCAGCACATCAGCTGACATGTCTGCTTAGAATGCCTTTCTTTTTTTTTTAATATTTTATTTATTTGACAGAGAGAGACACAGCGAGAGAGGGAACACAAGCAGGGCGAGTGGGAGAGGGAGAAGCAGGCTTCCCGCCAAGCAGGGAGCCCGATGCAGGGCTCGATTCCAGGACCCTGGGATCATGACCTGAGCCGAAGGCAGACGCTTAACAACTGAGCCACCGAGGTGCCCCTTAGAATGCCTTTCTCCCACCATGTCAGCTAGCTAACTCTTGGTTGTCCTTCTGAAGTCCGTGTACAGCCAGCTCTGATTCACTCTTCTCCCTCCCCCCGCTTCTAGAGCTCTCTAATTCCTACAGCACTCTGCTTTTCCTCTACCAAGTGAGATGCCATCGCAGGGTTTTCGGCAGAGGAGTGACCCGATCTGGCTTGAGTACCTACCATATGCCAGGCACCATTTTAGGTTCTGAGTCAAGATGAGAATAAAAAGAACACTTAACTTATAGGGTTACTGAGAGGATTATGAGAGACTTAAGACAGTGCCTGGCATATGGTAAACTCTCAGGAAATGCTAACAATTATTATCTATCTACATTCAAGACATTTCCTCACATCTATTGACATCTGTGGCCTTTGGCTCCTAGTCTCCCTTCCTAAACATAAATCCCATTACCATCCTGGGTGATGATACCGCCAACATGCTAGCGCCTCTCCTGGACCTCAACTCCTGTAGCTTTCACCTCCACCCTTCTCCAGATACACCATGACAATATCCTGACCTTGATGTTGTTGTTGGACTTTTGCAGACTGAATCCACTGTGTACAACCAAAGGAATAGATTAGAAAGCCCAGGCGGAATTTTCCGTTAGCTTAAGTTGAGAGCGAGCTCTTCTGTCCCTACCTCAAACAAGCAAAAAGTCTCTTCTGTATGACTGAGTCCTGGAAGATAAAAGCAAAGGAAAAAAGGGAGGGCTGGCTGGAGATGCTAGTTTTGCGGGCACGAGATAAGGGCAGGCATCTCTATGACTGCTCAAAAGAGAGGAAATTACAGTTGCAGTCTTTCTGGCAGCAAGGAGGGAGGGAGAAGTTAGTGATCAAGACACCTGAGCAGGTCAGGAGACTGAGGGGCAGGTGCTGCTGATAAACACTGTTCAGCATGAATGACCTTCACAGAGGCTGTTCTCTGGTGATGAGTCAAGAGTAAGCCTATGCAGGTGTGTACTCCTTCCTGCCAGAAAGTACATAGCTCTGGGGGCAATGCCTGGAAGTCAGGGCTCACCCCACCTTTCTTCACTCAAAACAACTCTGCTCTTGATTTAGTTGGGCTTCCAATTACAACTGCATTTGCGAAGTGTTTAGTGCTAAACCTTGGCTTTTCCTCTCAGCAGATAACTACACATGTTACTTTCCACGGAATCCAGCTGCCACTGAGGTGTCGTGACCACCCTCAAGATTCTTCTCTACTTATCTACATCTCATCACTTTTAGCCTCTAAGGATGTATCCTTTTTCCTATTCAAGGTTAATGCCACTACTCATGCTTGATTCCATCTCTTTCTCAGTCCTGCTGCGTCTTTATGCTATTTTCCTTTCTCCATATTAAGTTGCTGGAGTATTTGGCAATGGTTTAACATTGGCAATTTCATACGGTTCAAGCTAATATACCTTCGTTCTTTTCCTCTCTAAATATTCCTTCTCCTCGACCAAAAACAATTACAACAAAACATCCTTTTACAGACAAGAGTAACCTCTCTATATAGATTGTATTTTTCTAACATCACACCTCTTGTGTCCCTTCATATAAAACCTAAACACCATACCCCAGCTGTATCAGCTATATCTGCCTTTGCTGGTCACATCTCCCAACTGATAATTCACCTAACAAACACTTACCAAGGGTCTGGCGTGTTTATCAAATTTTTATTCACTCATTAAACAAATATCTTCTGAGTACCTACTCTGTGCCAGACACTGTTCCAAGAAGTACTTGGGCTAGATCAGTGAACAAAATAAAAATTCCTGTCCTCTTGGAGCTTATAGTCTAGTAGGAGTTGGTAGCAGACATACAATAAACAAACACAATAAAGAAAATAATCGGGGTGCCTGGGTGGCTCAGTCGGTTAAGTGTCTGCCTTCAGCTCAGGTCATGATCCCAGCGTCCTGGGATCAGGCCCTACTTCGGGCTCCCTGTTTAGCAGGGAGCCTGCTTCTCCCTCTCCCTCTGTCCCTGCCCACCATTCGTTTTCTCTCTCTCTCACTCTCTCTCTCAAATAAAATCTTTTAAAAAATAACCATATAGTATGTTCCAAAGTGATAGATGCCATGGGGGAAAAAAGTAGAGCAGGGGAGATTGAGAATGCTATGAGAAAAGCTGTAATTTCAAATATGGTGGTCATGGTAGGCCTTATTGAGAAGGTGACAATTTTTTTTTTTTGAGAAGTTTACAATTAAGCAAAGACTTGAAGGACAAGCCATGGATATATCTGGGGGAAGTGTTCCGTGCAGAGTGAATAGCAAGTCCAAAGGCCCTGAGGCAAGAAAGCTAAAGGAATAAGGGGAAAGAATAGGAGATGAAGACATAAAGGTACAAGGACCCTGATTGTGTAGAGCCTTTGTATTAGTTAACTACTGTTGGGTAACAAATTGCCCTAAAATTTAGCTATTTAAGGGGTACTTGACTGGCTCAGTCGGTGGAACATGGGACTCTTGATCTCGGGGTCATGAGTTTGAGCCCCACGTTGGGCGTGGAGATTATGTAAAAAAATAAAAACAAATAAGTAAAATTTAGCTATTTAAAACAGCAATACACAGGAATTTAAGAGTGGTTTAGCTGGGTGATTCTAGCTTTGGGTTTCAAGAGGTTGCAGTCATCTGAAGTCTGGGCCTGAAGAATCCTCTTCCAAGGTGGCTCACTCATGTGGTTGACAGGTTGGTGTTTGCTGGTGGTGGGGGAGGAGGAGATGTGAAGAAGGGGAGGACTCAGGTTTTCCCCGTGTGGCCCTCTCTACATGCTGTTTGAGTATCCTCATGACATAACAGCTGGCTTCCTACAGAGCAACCAATCCAAGAGAGAGGGAGGCAGAGACCACAATGCCTTTTATGATCTAGGCTTTTAAATCATATGCCATCACTTCCACAGTATTCTATTAGTTTACACAGGTCAGCTCTAGTTCACTGTAGAAGACAACTAGGCAAGGGCATGAAGAGCAAGAGGCAAAGATCGTTAGAGATCATCCTGGTGGCTGGCTACAACAGCCTCTGTAGGTCATTACACATCTGTAGCTTTTACCCTGAGTGAAATGGAGAGCCATTGAAGGGATTTGAGCAGATAAATGACAATGAGCTGACTTATTAGGACAGCTCTGGCTGCTTGTGTGAACAGAGTGGAGAGGGGCAAGGATGTAAGCTGGAAAACCAGTGAGGAAGCTAAAGTGCAAAAGAGAGACAGACCAGGGTCATAATGGTGTCGATGAGAATTGGTGGGATTCTGGATCTATTTTGAAAATTGAGATGGACAGGATTTGCTGATGAACTGGATGTGGGATAGGAGAGTGGGGGGCGGATTAAAGATGACTCCAAGAGTTTGGGAGAAATGACAAAAATGAGTTAGACATAGATTTTACCATAAATGAACTTAAGGTATAGGTGAGATAAGACATGTACACAAATAGGGGCGCTTGGGTGGCTCAGTCGGTTAAGCGTCTGCCTTCGGCTCAGGTCATGATCCCGGGGTCCTGGGATCGAGCCCCGCGTCGGGCTCCTTGCTCTGTGGGAAGCCTGCTTCTCCCTCTCCCTCTGCTGTTCCCCCTGCTTGTGTTCCCTCTCTCTCTGTCAAATAAATAAATAAAATCTTAAAAAAAAAAAAAAGACATGTACACAAATAGCTATATTACATGGCAGAAAGCACTACGATCCATAACAAAGGCACAAATTCAAGTGCCAAGTGAGATGAAAAAGTTCTGGAGGTACTCAATGCCACTGATCTGTATACTTAAAAATGGTTAAAATGGTAAATTTTATGTTATATACTTTTTTTTTTAAGTGATCTCTTTGCCCAACATGGGGCTGGAATTCACAACCCGAGATCAAGAGTTGCATGCTCCACTGACTGAGCCAGCCAGACGCCCCTATGTTACATACATTTAATTACAATTTTGAAAAGGTGCTAACAAAACCAAAAACAAAAATTCAAGTGTCAAGAGAGTTCAGAGGAGGAAGAAGAGATGACCTCCAGCTAAAGGAATCAGAGAAGGCTTTGAGTAAGGGCAGTCTTTCTACCCTTGAGACATTTGAGTAAATGAATGGAAGGCAGGAAAGCTGGGGATGGGCAGGCGCACAGTTCATAGTTGCGTTTTGTTAGAAGATAGGTAGTGTGCACTAAAACTGCAGGCGATGACTGATGACAGCCTTCTGTGACCATCTCAAGCGACCTCAAGGAAGAATCAAAAACAGGAAGAACCGGAAAACCAATTAAGCAGAGACAGGCAACCAATAAACAATCAAACATGATAGAAACCTAAAGTATTAAGAAGACCTAAGGGTCTTTCTTGTGTCTATGTGGAAATCAATAAACCTTAATATCTTTTAAACCTTAATTTTTACAACCGTAACAAATTATACCTTTTGATGCACAAGTATTTGGACAGCTGCTTGCAAGCAAGCATACCCTTTTCCCCTTTTGTATATATAATCCCCGGTAGCTAACGAGCTTCAGAGCAGTTCTTCAGAGCCATCTGAAAGACTTTTCCCAGGCTATAGTACCCAGTAAGACAACGAATAAAGCATTTACTATCCTACTTTGAGGATGGTTTTCTTTTAGTTGACTGGAGGGTGCCCAAGGGAAGAGTGAACATAAAGCTAAGGAGTTTTAACATTATCCGGGAAGTAATGTTGAAGGGTTTAACTCACATGGCCTTGTGCAGGCTGTACTGCAGGGGACCAGTCCTAGGGATAGAGAGGCCAGTCAGGAGACCAGGTAATGGTCAGACACACCTGTAATCAGAAGATCTAGGTTTGAATCAGTGTTGCAGCTCCCACACGTACTAGCAGTGTGACTTTGGGCAAGCCACCTAAACTCTCTAAACCTCAGTGTCTTCATCTGTAAAATGGAAATAATGGTAGTTACATATTTCATAAGATTGCTGTGAGAATTAAATGAGATAACTATTTGCTTTGCAATTCCTATTACTGCAGTAAGTCAGATGTGAGATTCTCAGAGCTATGACAGTAAAAGAGGATCGGAGGGAATAATATTTAGCAAAAGCCTAACAACCAAAAAGAAGTCTCGTCTCTCCTTCCTCCAAGTGCCCTTTTCAAGAGCAGCAGCATTTTAGGATGCAGGTGATACTCACAATCTTCCTCTTGAAATGAAACACTCATTCAGAACCTCTTATGTCACTACGCTAGCATATAAGGGAGCCCAAGTTTGTGAAACAAAATTCATCTGTCTGTCTGACAATCTTACAGCATACTCGAAATAAATCCAGGATATGATCAGCATTTTATGTACCAGATTTCCGGTTTCCCTGCCTTCTAATTTCTTCCCTATTCATTTTCCTTTATCTCTCGATCCCCTTCCTGTCCCAACTGAATGTCTTTTTCCTTTTATCCTTCCCATCTAGGGCACAGACCATATTCTAACCTCAGTTCCCTCATTTATTAGCTGCATGCTAGTGGAGGGGCTTGTCCTCTCTGGGCTTCAAATTCCTCTGTAAAATGGGTTTAATAAGAGAGGGCCTATCTTACAGGGTTGTCAAAATAACAACAAAGAAACGTCATACGTCTATCACAGTGCCAGGTCTACAGTGAGAACTCAACTTGTTCGCTCTCTTTTCATCCTTAATTTTACCTCTACTCCCCAACTGGACAACACCAGAGCCCAGCAAGTAAAAGCGTGGGAAAAAAACACCTCGAGGCTAAAGAGGAAACGCTTGAGCTGGGGGCGGGGACTGCGAGGTACCCACTGCGCAGGCGCATTTGCTAGGTCAGGCTCTGGCTTCCAGCTGGGGGGGGGTTGGGGGGGGGACGAGGGCTTCGATTGTCCTGGCTGCCCCCTTCCGACCCAGGGAAGTGGCGGAACCTTGACTGCGCCCCGGGAGGGCTCAGCACTAATCAAGGACGCCAGGGCCCGAAGGGTAAGTTCGAAAATGGCGGAGGGGGAAGAAGGAGGGGCCTTGCAGGGCGGGAGGCTGGTCCCCGCGCGGGGGCGGTAAAAAGGAGTCTAGCGGGGGCCGGGAGCCGGGGGCCCCCGTGGCGCGGCCAGGGCCATGAGACTGACCGACCGTGGCCGGTGTCTGTTTGAGGCCCTGTCGTGGACGCACCTCGGGTTCCCCGACTCGGGGCTCCTCCGGGCGATGGGCGGGCTGGTGGGTGCGCCTGCGGGAGACGAAGGGACTTCCGTTTCCTTCTAGGCTGGGGCCCGGCCGCAGAGCGGAGTTGGCATTTCCAGATTGGGGCTCGGGCCGCCCCTCCTCCAGGACCCTCCCCTCCGGACCGCGCAGGGCGCCGCGGGCGATCCGGGCTGGCTCTTCTGGCGCGGTGGGTACTGCCTGTACGGGCTTCCTCCTCCTCACCCCCCCTCCCCGCGGGCCCCGCGCTGCGGGGGAGGGCGGGAAGGTCGCCCCTGTGCGGCGCGGGTGGCCCAGCCGCGGCTCCTTGCCCAGGTTCCCGGGAGCGCCGAAGGAAGGCGTGGGTGGGTGGATGGCTTCGGGCCGGCCGGGTGCCTTCTTAAACCCTGTGACCCCTAAGGTAAATCGAGTCAAAGAACTTTTTTAATGATCAAAGGACCGCCCCCTCCCCACCCCCCAATCTGATGCGTGTGGCAGGTATGGAAGTGGGTGGAGTGTGCCTGGCGAGGGCTTGTGAAGCAGAAAGAATAGGAGCCAAAGAGCTTCCGGAAGAGGAAATTAGCTAGTAATTCTTTCCAATCTTTGCTGCCCTAGTCACCTCCCCAGCATATTCTGTGAGTAAAACAGAATTCAATCTAACTTTCAGTTTCATTATTTTAACTCCATAATACACTTAATTGTTTTCGGGAGGGGGGGGTGGTTATTGCTGAAACTAAGCAACAGCCCCCTCCATCTCCAAAAAAAAGAAAAATGTCAAAGCTCTGTAAAAACCTGTCCGATTTTAATAATCTACTACTTTGTTTTCAAATATAATTATGTCACTAGGTCTGTCACACTAGACCTTGATAGTCAATGACGCATAGAAATGTACTCTTGTAAGACTGGAGGTTGCTATAGTGTTTGTTTCTTCTCTTTTTTTACTTCGGATTTCTTACAACCAGGTCAAGAGAACACTTAAAGACGGCCATTTTAGGACTAAAACATTTTAGAGTTGGAAGGGATCTTAGTCCAATCCTCTTATTTTACAAAAGCGGAAACTAAGGCACGGGAAGATTTCATGGCTTGCCTAAGGCTACTCATCTACTTAGATTAGAGCCCAGCTTGTCTGGCTCCTTGCTTACCGCTCTTTGTGAACAACTGCTGCACATAGCCTCCAAGCAAGGAAATTGAACATTTAACCTACCCCACACTTCGGAAGCGTATACCACTTCGTACCATACAACTGTGATACTACTTTCGATGTATTTAACGTGTTTATGAAGCCAATGCTTGAGATATTTTCCCCATCATTCAAGAAGTGGCAACAGTTTAGGTTAAGATTTATACACACGTACATATGCATATTTGAATATGCTCAGATAATTTCTTGAAGGACACAAGAAAAATGTGAACAGTGGCTATTTAATGGAGGGATGGAGATGGGTGGGATGCTTTTTAATCTGCACTTCACGTGTGGTCTAATGTACTGGTTGAATTTCTTACGATAAACAAGTATTGATTTTATAATTGGAAACAATTTTTAAAATTCACACACCTACGTGTATATCAACATAAGTGTTTATCAATGGTATGTAAAGACATACATGCATTTATGTATCAGTGGTCTGTATTGTAAAATCCAGTATGGTTCCGGTCAGCCCACCTGGCAAAGCAGGCCTGATTATCAGATGCTCACATTTCTTTTCTTGTTTTCTCCAATTGCCCCTAATATAAGATGGTAAAAAGAATATATGTTACTACTAATCTTTATATATTTTTAGAAAATGTGCTAAACTTTTCATTATCCAATAATATAGCAAACTGTAACACTCAAGATATCCAATTTGATTCAATGAAAAAATCTGAATGTAGAACCTTTGTGGATAAGAATCATTTTTAAAAATTAAGATTGGAAGGGTCTCTGGTGATTAGTACTTCACCTCTTTTCTTTTTATGAATAGGTTAACTAGGACTCAAAAGAGGAGAAAGTGATTTGCCCACAATTATGTATCTACCTATTAGCACTGCTTGGACTAAGTCCCGGATACTCCGGTACCCCTTGTGCTACCTTTGTAACTATTGCTTTGTAATGCATTCAGTGACTCCCAACTAGGCAGAAAAAGTAATGCTGGCTAAAGGTTAGGCCCATTTCAATAGATAAGAATTACTGTAATTAACTTGCCAATTAATTTGTATAGTGCTTGAAATATTTTACTAACATAAATGTTCCCCTTACATTTGGTCATAAACATTAATTTGTGGGTTTTTTGGTTTTTTTTTTTTAAGATTTTGTTTATTTATTTGACAGAGACACACAGAGAGAGGGAATACAAGCAGGGGGAGTGGGAGAGGGAGAAGCAGGCTCGATGCAGGGCTCAATCCCAGGACCCTGGGATCATGACCTGAGCTGAAGGCAAACACCTAACGACTGAGCCACCCAGGCGCCCCCATAAACATTAATTTGTTTAATAAATTCTTTATATTGTAAATGCTTATAGACCCCAGATATGAAACTGATATTTTACTGTTTTTGTTTGTTCTAATATTTAAAAGTCAGGTAGTTAGTGCTAATGTGAGGGGGGGGAAGTTAAGCTTTATAAAATAAACATTTATTGAGCACCTACTATATGCCAGGGATTGTACTATGTGGTGTAGGGTTCAGAAGACAGATGTGGCAAAATAGATGTCCTTGTTCTCTTGAGGCTGGGAGATTATCATGAGCTGTCAGTTCTCAAACTTTATCTCTGTGTTCTAATCTGGTAATAGTATTATAAAATGTAATCTGTAGCACTGTTTAAGGTCATCTGAGTAGATTTGAGGAGACAAAAACAGAAGTTGTAAAAGAAACTGATACTGAACAAATACTCTTTTTTTTTTTTTTTTTTTTTTGGCTTAAAGGGAAAAAAGGTATTTATTACTCACAAAATTTAAAAGTCCCAGGTTTCGGGGAGCCACCGGCTCAGGTCATGATCCTGGAGTCCCGGGATCGAGTCCCGCATTGGGATCCCTGCTCAGCAGGGAGTCTGCTTCTCCCTCTGACCCTCCTCCCTCTGATGCTCTCTGTCTCTCATTCTCTCTCTCAAATAAATAAATAAAATCTTAAAAAAAAAAAAAAAAAAGTCCCAGCCTTCCAGCTCTTTACCAGTTCTTCCAGTGCAATTCCTGGTGAATAGTGACTATTTTCATGTCTTAGAGGTCATGTGGTACAGTGAGAAGAGCCCTGGATTTGATGCCTGGGTTCTTGTCTTGGCTTTGTTTCCAGTTAGCTGTGAGCTTGTGAGCAAGTCACTAAACCCCTCAGTGCCTACATATTTCTTTCTTTTTTTAAAAAAAAGATTTTATTTTTTTATTTTTTTTTTAAAGATTTTTTGTTTATTTTTTTAACAGAGAGAGAGACAGCGAGAGAGGGAACACAAGCAGGGGGAGTGGGAGAGGGAGAAGTAGGCTCCCCGCGGAGACTCAATCCCAGGATACTGGGATCATGACCTGAGCCGAAGGCAGATGCTTAATGACTGAGCCACCCAGGTGCCCCAGTGCCTACATATTTCTATTTTCTTCAAAGCTTTTTATGAATTAAATATCCCATTTAATTTAAAACAGAATATTTTGAATATTTTAAATTATAAAATAAATATGTTTATTATGGAAAATTTATGAAATTCAGAGTAATATAAAGAGAATAAGTATAATCCCATTCTTTTATATTTACTTTTATCGTTGAGGCTCATATTGTATGTAGATGGTGGTAATCCTTTTTTCTCATTCAACATTCTATATTGAAGATTTCCTATGTCATGAAAATTCTTTTAAAATGTAGTTTTTATTTATCCTGCATATTCTTTTAAGGTTGATTTACTTATTTGAGAGAAGCAGAGAAAGCACGAACGGGGGGAGGGGCACAGGGAGAGAGAGACCAGCAGACTCCCTACTGAGCGATGACCCGATGCAGGGGCTCAATCCCAGGACTCCTGAGATCATGACCCGAGCTGAAGTCAGACGCTTAACCAACTGAGCCACCCAGGCGCCCTGGGAGAGAGAGTCTTAAGGAGACTCCGCACTGAGCGCAGAGCCGATGTGGGCCCTATCTCACAACCCTGAGATCACAGCCTGATCGGAAACCAAGAGTTGGACACTTGACTGACTGCCACCCAGGTGCTCCATATCCTGTATATTATTCTATGCTCTGGTTCCTTCATTTTATAAAGTAACAGGTTTGGGCTAGTTGATGCCAAAGATTTAAAATCCATTATAATAGGTTTTTTTTAACCAATTATCTCAGATTTTATCAAGGAAAAAAAATCCCACATAACAATCCAAAATCTGTTTGGAATAAATATCTCAAATAAAATGATAAGAAATTAACAAGGTGGAGATATAAACGTTAATAATTTGTGATTATACTTTTCATTTTTTTCTGCTTTTATGATTTGAGTATTTAAAAATTTCACATGCTAAGTACTTGAATTTTAATTTGTTGGAGATGAGAATGATATATGTGTCATTACTGTGTTAAAAGCTGGCCTGTTTTATCTTGTAGGGTGGGTATAGAATAAGTTGAAGAGGGAGAAACTGGGCTTCTGGGTTTGACATTCTGGGATTATCAAAGCACAGAGAAGAGAAAATTTATGGAAGCTCATAAGGGTTCAGTAACTTGATTAAGGTCCAAATAGCTATTAAGTTGGCAGGGGTAGGATTTGAATCCAGATTTCTTTCACTCTGGTAGTCATGCTTTTCTTCCATTGCATGCTGTATTTCAAAAGATCTCTTTTTGTAGTAGTGCTTTGATCAAAATTGACTAACTTGGTATCTTTGAATAAATTGAGGAGCTAAAGTGAGAAACGCTGAGATAGCACTTAGGAATATGGTTTTCAGTTTGAGACAACCCAACCAACACACTGTGAGCACCGCCTGCTTTGAGCCAAGTTCTAACATCACTGTATTAACAGTGACTGGCATGTAGTAAGTGCCAGGTAAAAAATTATTGACTGAGGGGCACCTGGGTGGTGCAGTTGGTTGAGCATCCAGCTCTTGGTTTTGCCTCAGGTCGTGATTTCAGGGTTGTGGGATTGAGCTCCATGTTGGGCTTCACACTCAAGTCAAGTCTGCTTAAGTTTCTCTCTCCCTCTT